CTCCCCCCCCCCCCCCCCCCCCCCCCCCCCCCCATATATTAAACACCACCAGGTATCCGTTACAGCACTGATGTGAGTGTAGATGAAGTAAAAGCTTTGGCTTCTCTGATGACATACAAGTGTGCAGTGGTTGGTAAGTGATCACCTTTGTTGCTACCTAATAACTCTTTGGGGAAATATGTTTACATATTTACATGCTATAGAAATATACCTTATCAGAACTGATTTTTTTAAAGTTGCACTCTTTAGGGCCAGCCCGTGGCTCGCTTGGGAGAGCATGGTGCTGACAACACCAAGTCAAGGCTTAAGATCCCCTTACCGGTCATCTTTTAAAAAATAAATAAATAAATAAAGTTGCACTCTTTAAGGCTTACATCATTTTTCAGTTAGTCTTTTTTTTTTTTTAAGAGACCCATTTATTCAGTGTCATGATCAGACAATTACATTTAGCAAAGAGCGTGGGTACAAAAAAGAATCTACATTAAAGCCCTTTGTTGGAATGCTTTACACTTTCCTTAGAACGGAAACTAAAGTAACCTGTTACACAATTAGTCACAAATACAGTCCTGGAGTCTTTTCCCCATACACATGAGTGTTGTCTACAACATGTCTTCTTTGTAGCAGCTAGGCCCTGCCACCACTGTGCCTGGTTGAGTTCACACATCTGTTATAAACTGTAGCTCCCCTGTCACTCTGGCTCACCTCTTCTGCTAAGTTTTGTTTCCTGGAAGTTAATTAAAACCTGCCACTGCCATAGCTACTGCTGCTGCAGGAATTGCCATAGCCACCTTGGTTTCATGGTTTGGCAAAGTATTGGCCTCCACCACCACAGGGCCCAGAGCTTCTGCCTCCAAAGTATCCTCCCTTCATGTGCCCAAAATTTGAAGATTGATTGTTGTAATCACCAAAATCATTGTAGCTTCCACCACCTTCAGAATTGCTTTCATCACTACCAAGTCCATTATAGCTATCCCCACGGCCATCACATCCACCACCACCACAGCTGCCACCAAAGCCACCACAACCACTAAAGTTTCCTCCATGACTAAAGGGTCATTCCCACCAAAACCACCTTCCACGACCACCACCAAAGTTTCCAGAACCACTTCGACCTCTTTGGCTGGATGAAGCACTAGTAGCCATCTCTTGCTTCGACAGGGCTCTCTTTACTTCTCAGTTGTGGCCATTTACAGTGTGGTATTTCTGAATGACAGTCTTATCCATGGAGTCATGGTTGTCAAAGGTTACAAAAGCAAAGCCCCTCTTTTTGCCACTGCCTTGGCCAGTCATGACTTCAGTCACTTCAGTTTTCTCATACTGTTCAAAGTAATCTCTCAGGTGATGTTCTTCAGTGTCTTCTTTAATGCCACCAACAAAGATCTTTTTCACAGGTAAGTGGGTATCTGGTCTTTGAGAATCCTCTCTTCAGACAGCCCTCTTTGGTTCCACATATCTTACGTCCACCTTACACGACCTTGCATTCGTGGCTGCATCCATTTCCTCCCAGTGGTATAGGTGACAAACCCAAAGCCCCTGGAGCGCTTGGTGCTTTCATTACCACACAGTCTGTGAGCATGCCCCGTTGCTCAGAGTGGCTCCTGAGACTCATCGTTTGTTTTCAAAGTTCATCCCTCTGATGAACGTCTTCCGCAGCTTTTTGGGCTTTTTAGCGGACTCCAACTCAGACATGATGGCAGTGGGAAGAGAGACTTTAACGATGAGTCCTCGGTGGCATCCACAGACAGAAAGTTCAGTTAGTCCTCATTAAGATTTATTCTTTTTTTTAAGTGGGTTTTTTTTTATAGGCACTAATTAGATTTTTTGAAGTGAAGATCTTTGTTTTAAATCACTCTCTATACTCTGTGAATAAGACCAAGTTGTAGTAGTAGAGGGAAAATAAATATGGTGTTGTCTTTGAGAAGTAGTAAAAAGCACTGATTAAATATACATTATAACTTGCTTAGCCTTGTAATTTCTGTTCAATAAAATTTTATTTAAAATGTTTTAGAAGAGATCGGTGTGTGGCTCACTTGGGAGAGTGCGGTGCTGATAGCACCAGGGCCACAGGTTCGGATCCCATATAGGGATGGCCGGTTGGCTCACTGGGTGAGCGTGGTGCTGACAACACCAAGTCAAGGGTTAAGATCCCCTTACCGGTCATCTTTTAAAAAAAAAAAAAGAAGAGATCAGTATGAGTTTATGTCTTGAATTTTTCTGAAATTAAAGCATAAAGTGTCACACATTTTTGTAATATTGTGTGGTGCTTTCTGTCTCTTTATTTTTTTAACCATTATATGGAATAATAACTTTCAGCCTTCTCTTTCAGATGTGCCATTTGGGGGTGCTAAAGCTGGTGTTAAGATCAATCCCAAAAGCTACACAGTAAGTATCAAAGTATTTGTGCATTTGAGCATTTACAGAGGACTTGAATTACTGTGTATCCCCCATACCAGTGAGATTCTTGGTCCCCATTACTTTTCACAAGGAATGGAAAAACACAGAAATAATTAACTCATTGAGTGTTTTGTCATGTAGAAGATCACCTGCTTAGTGTCAACAGTCTTTTTCATTTTCTTACTTGATTAAAAGTAATTAATACCTTCATATTATTGGGCACTTACATCCATATTTAAAAGTTACTATGATCTGAGGTTTTTAATGTCAGGATCTTGTTCTAGTGACAAATGTTTTAACTAATCCAATAAAAATCTTATTATTTATCCTTTCAGTTCCAAGTTATTAAAACTTGTTACATGTTTTACATAGTACTAAATTAATGATCTGTGTACAAACATGATGAAAACATAGGATTTTGTTGTCTTTAAAATTAATCATTTAAGGCTGGCTAGTTTGCTCAGTTGGTTAGAGCATGGTGCTGATAACACCAAAGTCAAGGGTTTGATCCCTATACCAGTCAGCCACCAAAAAAAAATTTTTTTTTTTTTTTTTTTTTTTTTTTATGATGACCAGTAAGGGGATTTTAACCCTTGACTTGGTGTTGTCAGCACCACACTCTCTGAAGTGAGCTAACCAGCCATCCCCTATATAGGGATCCGAACCTGTGGCCTTGGTGTTATCAGCACCACGTTCTCCCAAGTGAGCCACGGGCCGGCCCTGAAAAATTATCATTTAAATGAAAATATACCATAGGAATAGCTCATAGGGTTCATATTAATACATCATTTTCCAGTTAGTCTTAATTAAGATTAATCTTTTTTTTAAGTGGGGGATTAATACAAAGAAGAACTGGAATTTGAGCCCTAGTTCTACTCTCTTGTTTTTATAACCTGATTTCTTATTCCTTTTCTCATCTTCACAATGGAAATGCCTACGTTGTGAGCTGTTCTGAGGATTACATGAGAACATATAAGAAAATATCCTATTAATAGAAAATATAACTATTATCTCCCCGTGTGATTTTTATGTCAAAAATTTTTTCATGGGGCCGGCCCGTGGCTCACTCGGGAGAGTGCGGTGCTGATAACACCAAGGCCACAGGTTCGGATCCCATATAGGGATGGCCGGTTGCTCACTGGGTGGGCGTGGTGCTGACAGAAAATATCCTATTAATAGAAAATATAACTATTATCTCCCCGTGTGATTTTTATGTCAAAAATTTTTTCATGGGGCCGGCCCGTGGCTCACTCGGGAGAGTGCGGTGCTGATAACACCAAGGCCACAGGTTCGGATCCCATATAGGGATGGCCGGTTCGCTCAATGGGTGAGCGTGGTGCTGACAACACCAAGTCAAGGGTTAAGATCCCCTTACCGGTCATCTTTTTAAAAAAAAAATTTTTTTTTTTCATTGTTTTTTGTTTTTGTTTTTTCCTTAACAGGATAGTGAATTGGAAAGGATCACCAGGAGATTCACCATGGAGCTAGCAAAAAAGGGTTTTATTGGTATGTATTGCCATGTAGGTTTCCATATAAAGTGAAACACCAAAAAATTAATTGTCTTAAATTAAACTACTGCTTTTATCTATATGTGCCTAAGTAGAATTGCCCTTTTACTTTGAGAAACTGGGTTCTGTGATAGGTCTAGTGAACATACCTGGGCCTGTTTATGGCACATCTCTAATGGAAAAGTTCAAGTGCAGGGTGGTGCAGTGTGAACACCAGGGACGGATCTCCTTCACCTCTTGTCCTGCATAGACTTTGTAAGGGCTTTATATGTGAAAAGTAATTTTTACAATGGAAATCCTGTTGTTATCGAAACAGTGAAAAGTCTGATGCCTTTTGGAACTGGAGGTTTTAAATAGTGATAGCTGTCCCTTCAAAACACTGGGAATAGGCAGCGAGGCACTTTCTCTTTCTGAGGATTCCTGAGGCTCCTAGTGTTTTCTATAGGAAATTTTGACAAACATGCTAAATTTCCAAGGAATACTAACCTTCATTTGCTTGATGTTTTTGTATCTTACTACCTATTATCTGTGTTTGTAAGTTCTTTTGTGTGAGATAGGAATATTCTTTTCTGTGATGTATAAATATTTGCCATTTACTGTTTAATTTTCAAGCCTTTTAAGTCTTTCTATATATTCCTTTTCTTGGCCTAGTAGAGTTCTAATTATGTTTGAATAAAATAATAAAATTACTTAATAGAATGCCTGCCCTATTTGCATAGTTAAACAAAAAAAAGGCTTAATAAAGAAGTAAAGTCTAATTTTTCTCTGCTTTCTTGCACTTGTGATTTTCTTGCTATATTTCCCCCACCATGGACAAGTTCCTATGAAATTAAGCTATCCATATTATGAAATTTAACATGAGAACTTTACTAGATTTGACCTATTTTTCGTAATTTGAAGCCGTTTCAGTTCTTGGTGTGCCTCATAACCAGTACTACTACCATGAACTTTACTTGTACGTCTTTTTTTTTTTTTTGGTGGCTGGCCAGTACAGGGATCTCGAACCCTGGACCTTGGTGTTTTCTTTTGCATCATTGCACATAAAAAGCATGTTAACAGAAGTTCTCGTCAGTTAACTACCTCATTCACATTTACAGGAATCCTACTGATTCTGCAGTATGTTGAATTGAAGTCATATTCAGTGTGTTGATAACTTTCATAATTTTTTATATCATACTTCCTCTTAGCCTAAATCTCAAATATATTTAATAGTCTTAAATGGTTTTAGACTTTATTCAGTCATATTTATTGCCCGTCTCTGGAGTGCCTCTAGGTTAATTTTATCAATTTTGATAAGAAAAAGTGATTCATTGGAATACTGAGAGCAAAGCTTAAATACTAGTAATTTGATTTATTTGCTGTATGCAGAAGCCTCATTAACCTATGATGCAGCTAAACTGACATCTAGGCCCAGCAAATTTTTTAGCATAGGAGGTAGGCATAGCTACCTTCCAAACATATAGCAAGCAAATGCCAGTGTGGGAGAAATTACTATGTAACATGTCCATCTAAGTTTTGTAGTGAAACGTTTAATGAGTATTTTTATGACTTTGATTAGATACCTAAATGAAATCTAAATTTCTCTAGCCATGGTGACTTTGTTTCTATAGAGAATTGAAGAGATCTTCTTTATCTTAAAAACTGTCACACTGCCTTTTCCCTGTGCCCCCAGGTCCAGGCATTGATGTGCCTGCCCCAGACATGAGCACGGGCGAGCGGGAGATGTCCTGGATCGCTGACACCTATGCCAGCACCATAGGGCACTATGTGAGTACCCACTAGGAGCCCTGAGGCTTCTACATTTGCTGCCTACAAGAAGTAATACTTCAACTGATTACAAGAGAAGTCAAGAATCACTGGGCTTTTCTCCTCCCCATTAAACATAATTTTGATATGCATACTATTTTGCTTCTATTTCTCTATTTTTTTTCCCCATTTTTTAAAATGTATTTTTCTGACATTAGTTAACCAAAAAAAAAAAAATAATTGAAAATACAAAGAACCAAGAATAGTCAAGGTACTATTAAAGAAGAATAACAGAGTTGACAAACTTTTCTTAATCATAGTATTTGTCATAGGTATAGTAATTAAGACAGAATTATATCAGTGCAAGAAAAGAAAAATAAATCAATGGAACAGAAAAGAGAGCTGAGAAATAGACTCTCATTATATGGACATGATATTTATTGCAGACCTGTGAGCAAAGGATAGGTTTTTAAAATAAATGGCTCTGAGTGGTTATCCAACTGAGAGCTGTGTTATAGCAGTTAAGGGCACAAATCTGGAGCCAGATGCTTGCATCCAGTTCTCAGATGTGCATTTACCAGCTTTGTAACCTTGAACAGTTAGTTTACATCTATGTACCTCAGTTTCCTCATCTGTAGAGTGGGAATAATGATGGCATGGTTTCCAGAGAGGTTTCTTTTAAGGATTAATTAATATATGTAAAGTAGTAAGATGAATAACTGACACCTAGAATGCATAATATGTATTATTATCCAAGTCATAATTACCTTTATTATCACTAATTATAGTCAACATCATGATATGGGGATACAAATAAATTTATAATCCTGCCTTGTAACATACACAAAATCATTTCCAAGTGGAATAAAGACCTAAATGAGAAAGGAAAATCTTTAAAGGTATCTTATTTCTGTGTGTGAAAAAATGCAAGTGGTTTTGTTGAACATAGAGTCGAAGGTCATTTTTTAAAAGTCTGAAAGTTGACAAAAGGCTCAGTATTTCCCAGTTTTCTTTTTTTTTTTCTTTTTTCTGTTTCTACTTTTTTTTTTTTTAATTAAATATTCATGTGCTACAAAGCTGATTGTCACCCCTCCTGCCCATGATGTGAGGGCCAGATTCATACTGGCAGCATACTCATTACCACAAATTGCATTTGTACCCTGTGTCCCCCACCCAATTACCACCAACTTCCCTCTCCCTCTCCCTTTGACCCCACTCCATTTTGTAGCCCAAGGAATGTTCTCTCCCTCTGCAAGTCCAACGCACTACTGTGGTCTTTCTTTCCTTCCTTCTTTCTCTCTCAGCTCCCACATATAAGTGAATACATGCGGTATTTATCCCTCTGTGCTTTGCTTATTTCACTCAACATAAGTTTCTCCAGGCTCATCCATATTTCTCTATTCTTAAAGCATATATGCAATGAACATGGGTTGTGCTTTTACTTACTTTTTTCTCGAAGAGCTTTCATTTAAAGAGGAGCTAAGACACATAAGCAGATAAGTTATGGAAATAGTGTACTGCAAGGGCAGAGAGTTATGGTTTCTGAAAGAAGGTGGAAGAGATATTTGGATAGACCTTAAAAATGGGTAGAATTTGAACATTTGGAGGACCGGGGGATAAGAGGAGAAACAGCAGAGCTCAGATTGTCTGAAGGTGAAGTAAGTGGACCAGGACAAAAATACCGAGCCCTTGTGCTGATATTTTGCTTGATAGTCAGTGGAGAGCCTTTGCTGCCGACTCCTCCTAAGGAGAGAGTAGGCTGGTAGCAGTGTCAGGCTGTGCTGGCCCTATGAAATCACCTCCTACATGGTGTCAGCGCCTGTCCCAAGATCCATAGAGCTGGGGAGAAGCACTGGCACATGTGAGGTACGTGACAGAGAGACTAACGAGATTGGTTTGGATGTGAGGGATCAAGGAAAGGGACATGGTTGAGTGGGAGAGAACCAGGAGGACTGAGTCTGGGGATTGAGCAGAGAGGTAGAGTCACTGAACAGAACATGAAGAAAAAAAATTATATGTTCCTAAAAGGGATCAGACCTTGAAAAACAGAAACACAGAGTAGGAAGAGAAATGGAATTGCAAGAGACATTTCACACCTACCACATGCAAAGCCAAGTGCAAGCAAGATATTCACTACAACTGGGATAAATGCTAGAAGTTCTGGTGCTATGGGCCGGCCCGGTGGTGCACTGCTACAGTGCGCCGCTTGGGAGAGCAGTGGCGCTCCCGCCGAGGGTTCGGATCCCACATACAGACCGGCGGCTCACTGGCTGAGCGAGGTGCGGGCGCAACACCGAGGGTTGCGATCCCTTGCAGGTCCCGGTCCAGTACGGGCACGACACTGAGGGTTGCGATCCGTTGCCGGTCACGAAAAAAGACAAAAAGGAAAAAAAAAAAAAAAGAAGTTCTGGTGCTATGAGAAGGAATAACAGGGCCCACCAAGTCTTTGGAGGGAAGATCAGAATAGGCCTCCATGGAGATGTAACCTTCTGGTCTACACTCTGAAGGATGAGTGGACATGGATAGGAGAAGGGACAGGGGCACGTGTTTGGGGCAGAAGGAAGCCTGGGTGAAGGTGCTGAAGTGCAGAAGAGAGGTGAACTTCAGTGGCTAAAGGACAACTGTTGTAGCCAGCTTTGAGAGTGGGAAAAGAGGGTAAGAAGGGCCAGTAGAGGAGGGTCGGGTCTGGTAGGTGACAGTAAGGACTTTGATCTTTGTCCTGAAAACAGAAGGAAGCCACTGAAGAGCTCACTGTAAGCAGGTGTGTGACACAGCTGCGTGTGCATTTTAAGCCTCCCTGTCTGTGTGGTGGAGAACAGGATTGTTGAGGGCAGGAGACTATGACAGGAGCCCAGAAGAAGCAATTGGCCTGGCTTAGGGTGAGGTCAGTAAAGGTGGAAGGAAATGGACAGATGGAAGAGTGATCTAGGAGGAAAGCAGCAGTCAGTTCTAAAAGAACGGGAGTGCTGAGAATTCAGTGGTATGGATGTTGAGGGAGGGAGTTTCTGCAAAGAGACCAAATTCATTAACTGCATTTGACCATGGAGTAGTGAGATCAGAGCCAGACTGCGAGGGGGTGTGAAGAGAGCGAAGCAGGGCATGAAGTGAAGCCTCTGCCTAAGAAAAATGGCACTGGAGAGAAGCAGAGAAAAGACAGCTTGAAAGGTGGCTGTTGCGCGAAGAAGAAGGTTTGTTGTTTGGCGTGTTTGTTGCCTATGGGCCACAGAATTGGTGCAAGAGAGAGATGATGCAAGAGAAAGGCAGGATAGAGAAGTCCTCCAAGCGAATAAAGGCCGGGGAATTTTTCTTTTAAGGGCCCTAGTGGAAAGACGGGCCTTGGAGAAGAGAAGGAAAGTAGAAGTCAGGTGCATTTCCTAAGATGGCATCACACTGTGGTTGTATGGGCAGACTGCCTGGATTCCAGTCCTGGCTCCTTCACCCACCAGCTCTGTGACCTGGGAGTCTCTATGACTCAGTTTTCTCATATGTAAAATGACAATAATAGTATCTTAATGAGACTGTTAGGCAGATTAGATGAATAATAATCTAGTGCACTTAGAACAGTACACAGCCCTTAGTAAGCACAAAAAAATATAAGTATTAGGCCGGCCCGTGGCTCACTCGGTAGAGTGCGGTGCTGATAACACCAAGGCCACAGGTTCGGATCCTATATAGGGATGGCCGGTTTGCTCACTGGCTGAGCGTGGTGCTGACAACACCAGGCCAAGGGTTGAGATCCCCTTACCGGTCATCCTTAAATAAATAAATAAATAAATAAATAAGTATTATATCAGGTGAATTATACAAATCCTTTGAAATAAAACAGGAGCAGTATGAGACACTTCAAAGAGTTTTGGTTTTGACTGCCATTCCCAAAAAGGACACTTTTCCTTCTGTCACCTGTTTATGTTAAATGAGCTCTGGGTATGTTGTCGTCTTCTCTTTAAGCAAGACACTAGATTATTTATGGTGCAGCTAACAGGCAGTATATTGTTATTTGTAGTTCATTTACAATGATGGCAGCAAAAGAAAGTTTTGAAGCCTTGCACACTAAACCTTGGACTATACTTAGTGGTAAAAGACTTTCCTTTCTTAAGTGATAGGAAATCCAAAATCATGGCCTGAGGCAAGGAGGCCATATTTTTGACCACTCGTTTCTAGACTGCTCCTGTTGTCTAGCCCCACCTAGAAGTGCAGAGTTGGTAGGAGAGTGTGTTTTCCCCCTGGCTTCTGGGAGCATTAGGTATGCTGGGGAGCCTGGCAGTTGGCACCAAGCCTGACCTGAGACAGTATTTCCTTCAGCTCCGGCATTTGCATTTTCACTGTTTAAAAGCATTTGGCACTAAGTTTGCAATTCTGTATTCATGAGTGCTAATTATTCATGAAAGAAAAGTGTGGGAAAACTACGCATTCTATACATCACTTTACTAGACTGCTTTTTTTTTTTTTTAAACTGACTTTCATTCTTTTTGTTGGTAATTATACAAGTAATACAATTCCAAGTTCTCTCTGTAAAAATAAACAATATAGATAAAGATCAGGGCATTTTTTAATTCACCCAGCTGGAACATATTCCTGGGGAATTAGGAGGATGGTGTGAGTTGAAGCATTTGATCTTGTTTGACATGGGTAGCAAATTGCCTCAACAAGTTTATTGAATAGTCCATACTTTTGCCATTGATTTAAAACACTTCCTTCATTTTATTTTGATTTCCAATATATAATAAGACTATCTGGTTTCTCCTGTTCCACTGATGGATGTGCGTATTCCACAGTGTTCTGATTGCTGTGTTTATAGTATGTTTGATGCCTTGGAAGGGAAGCCCTCCTCAGCCCCATTTTTTTCTAATTATACTCGTTTTTGAACAATAATACATACACATCCTTAATTCAAAGAGGACAGAAGGTGGGCGACGAAGATTGTTAACCTACCTCTCTACTTCACAGAGCTAACCACAGCCGCCAAAGGTATTCTTCTCATACACAGGCATGGGCCTCTGTGTCTCACCCACACATACCCTTTTGTTTTTTTTAAATCCCAAATAGCATACTAAATATACAAAAAACTGAGTTCTCGAATGTAGAATTTCTAGGTAATGGATATGTTTGTTTTAATGGATGTTCCAAATTGCCCTGCAAACCTCCTTATTTGTCTTTTTTTTTTAATTTCTTAAATACTTTTGTTAATCTACTCTTTTAGATGAACTTGAGTATCATCTTTTAAAGTTCCTTTTAAGAAGTAGCATTTTATTGAATTTCTAAATTAGTTTGGCAGAGATCTTTGCAATAGTCTTCCCATCCAAGAAAATTGTAATTCCTCTTCCTGTCTCAGGCTCCGTTTTGGTGCCACGCTCAAGTCTTATGGAATATTTTAAGACACGGGTGGAAGGTGTACCCTGACTTAATAGGACTTAATTAAGTATTTGTTGAAGGAATAATAGCTTTAAGCCAAACTATCTCAACTTTTGTGATATTGTTATTTGTACTTTCTTGATGCTAAATTCCTAAACTTTGTTTCTCCCATCTACTTATTATATATTTTCTAGGAACAGAAAGCTAAAAAAGTGAGGCTTGTCCCTACTGATGAAAGCGAACCTTAAACACACGCATACTCGCGTGCGTGCACTCACACACACTTACACCCACACATACTCCTGATGAGCATATTTTTAGTTAAATGAGAATGTGCTTTGACTTTAATTCATTATTTGGTTCATCACTGAAATTGGACTTGACATTTCATTCTTTGAATTATGACTCCCTCTTACAGGATATTAATGCACATGCCTGCGTTACTGGCAAACCCATCAGTCAAGGAGGCATCCATGGGCGCATCTCTGCTACTGGTCGTGGTGTTTTCCATGGGATAGAAAACTTCATCAATGAAGCTTCTTACATGAGCATTTTAGGAATGACACCAGGGTTTGGAGATAAAACATTTGTTGTTCAGGTAAAAAAAAAAGTGTTAATGACCGGTATATAAAGGAAGTTTTTAAGTGTTTTTAGATTTGCAATTTTAGAATTTGATTCTTTTGAATCTTTTAAATTTTAGAGTGGATGTTTTCAGAGTGATACATTTTTTTATTTTTTGAACCTTGGTATGTTTCATGTGACTAGAACTAATTTAAATATCTCTCCGACACATATACAAAACTACCACCAACTTCTTTTTGTCAATATTTAAACTTGAAATTGTATCCGGAAGGGGAGGTCTCTTAACATAATTTTCTAAGACTGTTTTGGGTATACAGGAAGGTTTGCATATCGACCCAAGCTTGTCAGATTTGTTAACGTGTATTTTGTTTAGGGGAATCTAAATTAAATTGAACATTACTTTAAAATAGAATTCGTACATCTCCAAATTAGTGACATATCTTTTTATAGCCATTAGGACACCTGGCCATCAGGGACTGAGGAACTGGTCGTGTGGGTGATGCCACTGCCATTTCTTAATAAGCCAAGAAGTCTGCACCACACTAAACATCCCCAGGACTCATTATCACACATAACAAGGGTTTGGTTCCCCTTAAACATAGAATTCTATTGTTGAAGAAAAGCCATTTAGTACATTGTTTCTTTTGACAAAAGGTTTTTGAGAATTGCTTCTAAACTAACAGAATGTGGATTTACATTGGTCAAAATATGACTCTTGCTATCTGTACCAGGTCTTTGATTTTTATGTCATACATAATTGTTTTTCACAGGGGTTTGGTAATGTAGGCCTCCACTCTATGAGATATTTACATCGCTTTGGTGCTAAATGTGTTGGTGTTTCTGAATCTGATGGGAGCATATGGAATCCAGATGGTATTGACCCAAAGGAACTAGAAGACTTCAAATTGGTACGTCTGAGAATATATAGAAAAACCACAAAGTGCTTTTCCTGTACTTATTGTCAGCAACAACCAACGTAGAAGAGAGACTTGTATGAACACATGTCTGGGGATTTCTCTCTACCAGCAGGCAATCAATGGATTCTGCAGAAGACACCAGCTGGGTATCCTTTAATTCAAATAAATCTATTATGACAGTATCTACCTGGAGATAGAGTCACATCACACAGGTCAAGGGTACAGTTCCCAAGACTCTAATATAGATGCCAGTCACAAGTCCAGGCCCCTAGAACTTCTGACTGACCAGCTGTAAATCCCTATCTGGAAGTTCTCTGAACCCAGGCCACTTGGTTTTTTGTGGAAGCTTCATTAAATAGGCATGATTGATTAAATCATTGGCCTCTGGTGGTCAACTTAACCTTCAGCCCCTCTCCCCTACCCAGAGGTTGGGGGATGGGGCTGATAGTCCCAACCTTCTAGTCTTGCCTTGGTTTTGCTGGTGACCAGCCCTGGTCCTGAAGCTGCCTAAGGGCCTGCCAGCTGTCATTCAGCTCATTAGCTTACAAAAAGACACTCTTATCACTGGAGATTCCAAGGATTTTAGGAGTTGTATGTCAGCATATGGAGACAAAGACCAAATATATATCTCACAATATCACAGTATGTTAATCTAATATCTGAACAGTTTGACCACCTTAAACCTTGTAAAGTTGAAATAAGTGTTATTTAAATCTATTTCCATTCCTTTTTTTTTTTTTTTTTAAATATTGCTCATTCTATGTTGTAGGCACTGAACATAAACATTTAAATTCTGATACAGCCATTAATTCTGATTTTCAATGAATTACAGCAACATGGATCGATTTTGGGCTTCCCAAAGGCAAAGATCTATGAAGGAAGCATCTTGGAGGCTGACTGTGACATACTGATCCCTGCTGCCAGCGAGAAGCAGTTGACCAAATCCAACGCACCCAGAGTCAAAGCCAAGGTGAAAGGAAGCATTATAGAAACTAAATTCAACATTGCCAATGTGCAGTTATGGGGGGGGGGGGCGTGTCTTAAAAAAGTCTGATTGGGCTTTTCTTTTTTTTTAACACATTTATTGGCATATGATTCACATACCATATTTGTCCACTTAAAGTATACAATTTAATGGCTTTTAGTATATTCACAGAGTTGTGCAACTCTGGGTTTTCTCTTAAACATAACTTCTAAGAAGAAGTTAACAAAACTAGGGAAATAGGTAAATACACTTTGTAGAGCAAAATAACCTTTATTAAGTTAATTTTAACTGAAATTATGCTTCTACATACAGCCCCCCTACCCATATATGCAAAATGCCCTCAGTGGAAGGGGGTTGATGGTATTATCAGCATTACTGTATGTTCCTGACTGTCTTGCAGATCATTGCTGAAGGTGCCAATGGGCCAACAACTCCAGAAGCTGATAAGATTTTCCTGGAAAGGAACATTATGGTTATTCCAGTAAGTCATCCATGTTTGTCAGGTTTTATATGAACTTGGAATCATAATCATCTTTTGCAAGGAATTGAGGGCAGAGGGAAATTATTAGTTTCTCAAGTTATAGTGAATTCTTCATCTTTATTTTGCTTTTAAGAAAAATAGAGTAGAAGCATGATTAGTCTAATAAGCCTATCACTTTTCACTTTGACCTGAACATTTATTCCAACTTCACACTCTTTCCTGAGTATGTATTTAGCCTTCCAAGAGTCTAGTAATATAAACATCTGTTGTGCTAGAAATATTACTCTAACTTAAACTCTTGGTTTTTCTGTGTGTTCCTAACCTTGCACATTTCAAGTGTCCCTTCCTGCTTTACTCAGAAAGTTAATACAAGGAATACACATGCTCAGGTTCTGTAGTGGATAAGCAGAGGTCTATACTAACAGGTTATTGGAAGTTAATGTGGACTTGGGATGTATTTTGAAGAATTCCCTCTGCTGAAAACACTTAAGAAATTTAATGTAACTGAAATAAGCTGCCCTCAGGTAGTGGGAGAAAGAATGCTAATCCTGTGGTGAGACGCCCTATGGGCAGTCCAATCCAGTGGTTGATGGGCAAACATAGTCTGAAACCTTTTGGTGGAGAAGAGGCTCTCACCAAAGTTGATCAAGTACTCATTGGTTAATAATCCCAAAATTATGTTTTTCCTGAGTAGCAAAAAACTTAGAAGAGGGTTTGTTAAATTAAGTGTAAATTCCTAATGCCATCTAAGATAATATTTGGGAAGTGTGAAGCTTAGTCTGCCTTGGTATTGAAATTGATTCTTATGCTCATTTTAAGCTTTTACTAAAACCATCACCTACTGATTTCTTTTGTGTCTTCCTGTCACGTTTTTGTGTATAGGATCTCTACTTGAATGCTGGAGGAGTGACAGTATCTTACTTTGAGTGGCTAAAGAATCTAAATCATGTCAGCTACGGCCGTTTGACCTTCAAATATGAAAGGGATTCTAACTACCACTTACTCAGTGAGTTCCGATGCTCTTGTTCTCCAAAAATAATCTTTAGGGCCAGATAAAAGGCTGGAAAAAGGATACACTTAAGAGGACTTCTCCTTTAAGAGGACTAATCCTAAAGAATTTAGTCAGAAAACAAATATGTATTATGCTCTCCATGAGGTTTACACCAAAAATATACAGTATCCTCATCAGTATTCAATGTATTAACTCCCTCAAATATATTCAGATTTTAATTCTGTGATGTAATATTCCCAGGACATAATCTACAAGTTAGTAATGTTGTAAAAAGTCTTATTTTTAAAACATGAACTTTGCTGTTGAAGTTCAAGATCAAAATTCATCCATTTTGATCTCTGGTTGCCCTTAATAAAGGCTTACCTAGCGTAAGAGGTTTTTTTAATCTTCTGTTGAGAATACTTGTTTTTCTTTGACTAGAGTAAGCTCCACAGTTAGAGTAGAATTTCTCATCACGCTGAAATAAGGCCAAGACCTCCAGCTGAGCTTCTGTACTCAGCCCACTCTGAGAATCTGGGTGAAGTGTTCCGTCTATTTCTGTTTCTTTTCCCCTCAACATTTTCTTTTTAATAGAGCCAAGGAAAAACCCTGGTGATGGGTGTTATGGAAACAGAACAGTGACCTAAATTCACATTATATAGGAATTCGGCAAAGTGTTTTATTCCTTGTTAACAATTTTAAGTGGTTAACCCTTTATGTCAAGTTGAAGGTTTCTAAAACTCTATCAATTTTTGGGTTATGGATGTGGTTTGTGACTACTTTTAGTTCTACTTCATTTTTTTTCCTACTAGCAGTATCTTATCTTGATCTCTTGGCTTTTTATAGTGTCTGTTCAAGAGAGTTTAGAAAGAAAATTTGGAAAGCATGGTGGAACTATTCCCATTGTACCCACAGCAGAGTTCCAGGACAGGATATCGGTGAGTGTTGTAGAGGATTAGAAATCTTGTTACACTTCTAGCTGTGTAAAGAATGTGGTGACTCCAGAGTTGTACTTGACACAGCCTCCCTGCTCTGTGCTTCGGTCCGCAGCCAGGTAGATGGGTTGAGTTGAGCGGTAGTAATCAGCATGACACCAATTATATGACTTGTGTGGGCTTTGTACCTTCCCCTTTTGTTAAGTTCTGAAAATGAAATAAGAATCTAGTGACTGGTGACAAATTTTAAATAAATAGAGGTTCTTTGCTTTTGAAAATAAAACAGATTAAACTACATGAAACTTTGAAAATACTATATGGACACAGTGAGAAGTTTAAAGAAAACAGATTACAAAAGGTATCTTGTATTAATTAACTGTTGACAGGATGTATTAATAATGCATACACATCGCAAAGAGAATTTCTTTACCAGTAAATGACAAAAGAACAATAAAGTCATAGCGTATAAGCCTAAAAAAAAAATGTTTAAGGGCCGGCCCGGTGGTGCACTGGAGAGTGCGCCACTTGGGAGCGCAGCGGCGCTCCCGCCGAGGGTTCGGATCCCATGTGGAGACCGGTTCCCGCTCACTGGCTTAGCGAGGTGCGGGCGCAACGCCGAGGGTTGCGATCCCGTTGCCAGTCCCCGGTACGGGCGCGATGCCGAGGGTTGCGATCCTGTTACCGGTCAGTAAAAAAGACAAAAAGGAAAAAAAAAAAATGTTTAACCTCACTGTTATAGAAGTACAAATTAAAATAAGGGGTTTTTTTAGTGTTAAATTAGCAAAAGCAATGGATGTTATACTCACCATATCTGGTAAAACAGTTGTACTTTATTCTGACGAAAGTGCAGATTGGTGGGCTTGCTGGTTACTTCAGTTAGAGCACACCAGCCAGCCACACAAAAAAAAAAAAAATGCATATTGGTTCAATTCTTTGGAAAATTTAAAGAGTTGTTAAAATTCTCTGGCCCTTTGGTACACTGTAGGAACCTCCCCTCTGGGAACCATCCTAAGAAAATAATTCAAAAGGAGAAGAAAAACTTCATGCATGATGATGTCATTTAAACTATTTGCAGTCAGTTTTTAATTAGGTTTGATTTAACAGTCCAATGGCAGAGGAATGGCTAAGTTATATCTTATTAAACTTCCAGTTATGGAAAATCCATTAAGACTGTTTCCACATGGGAACAAGTTAAGGGTTCTATTCTTTTTTTTTTTTTTTTTTTGTCCTTTTTGAGACCGGCCGCACCGCGCTCAGCCAGTGAGCGCTGTGAGCGCACCAGTCATCCCTATATAGGATCCGAACCCGCGGCAGGAGCGCTGCTGCACTCCCAGCGCCACACTCCTGAGTGCGCCACGGGCTCGGCCCTAAGGGTTCTATTCTGAAGGAGAAAAGATGCTTTCGCTGCCTACTGTCGATACTACCTGTTCCCCTCATAAACCTTCCTCTTTCCCTGAGCCACGTCTCAGTTCTGGTCCCTCAGTCTGGAATGCCCTGACCCCTTACCTGACCCCCCCCCCTGCTTAAGTATTACCACAACTCTGTGGCTTTCTCTGGAAGTCTTCTCTGGGTGCTAGAACTTCATACATACTTCCATCCCAAGTTTCTTCCAGTGCATTGGAAGGGCTTGCTGCTGCTGCCGCCACCTCCCCACAGTTGGAGGGGCTGCATGCTCCTCCATCTGATCGCCCCGTTGCCCAGCATGTGTCTGGTACGTGGCAGTCATGCAGAGTGAACCCTCCAGAGCAAGCACAGAAAGAATACAACCAGCTAGTTAGGAAGACAGAGCCATGAATGACTTTGAGTCCTTTTTAAAAGAGTCTTTGCAAAGGGGCCGGCCCGTGGCTCACTCGGGAGAGTGCGGTGCTGATAACACCAAGGCCACGGGTTCGGATCCTATATAGGGATGGCCAGTTGGCTCACTAGCTGAGCGTGGTGCTGACAACACCAAGCCAAGGGTTGAGATCCCCTTACCGGTCATTTTTAAAAAAAAAAAAAAAAAAAAAGAGTCTTTGCCCAATGTATTGGCCTCCCAATTTTTACATGCTTCCAGTGCTCGTAATTTTAGGCTTTGGTGCTTTTTCTCACCTCTTACTGAGTTACTTGCTACAAGGAACCTTGTGATGGTATCAGTTGAAAACCCAGTTTCTTCTAGCTCCTTCCCTCGTGTTACTCTACCCGGCCCTGCTTTGGCACGACATCACTGACCCTAGCATGTTTTCACTATCCCTCATCCTGCCTAATGTCCTCACTTCTTTCCTTATCTGATATAAAATTCCATGCTCCATTATTACAGTCACTCCTTGCTTTTCTTTTGCTTCTTCATACGTCCTTGTTAACACCTAAGTCCTGAGTGAATCCCAGATCTCTGCCTCTTCCATGCATTTACCACTGTAGCTGGAGGCCCTGCTGACAGTCCACATCCTGAACACTAACCTCAGGTGCGCTCACTGAGCTATAATACTACTTTTCCTTGTTCCATTCAGCGTCTTCCTCTCGTGAGGGATTATATCATATTTTCTCCTCTTCTCAACCCCCTGCACTCTGGCTCATGACCTGGTGTCTGTTCACAGAGAACATTGAAGCAGTCTTGAGAACTTCCACATCTACCCAGCTCTTGGTGTCTGCCTGCCCTGTGTCATCTCTCCTCTCATTGTAGATCAGCTCTTTGTACTTCCACCTAAGCCCAGTTCTTGTTCTGGGGATTGGGTGGCCTGTCCTCACCTTCTCAAATACACTGTTCTCACAAGTCTTGTCCTTTCTCTCCCACATCATCAGCTTTCCCTCCATTGAGTCCTTCTTCTCAGTGTACCAAATGCTGTTTTGAAAAACAAATCTTAGTCCCAGTTCCTTTTCTAGTTATTACCATTTTTACTTCTTTACAGCAAACCTCCTTGAAAGAGTTGTATATACCCCGCCTGCAGTTCTTCTGCACTTGAACCTACTCTACCAAAACTGTCTTTGTCAAGGTAACCAGTGACATCACCATTGCCAAGTCCAATGGTCATTTTTCAGTCCTCTTCTTACTTGACCTATCAGCAGCTCTTGTCACTCCCCTCTTGAAATTCTTCTCTTAGCTTCCAGCACACCACATTCTCCTGGTTTTCTTCCTGCCTCACTAGCCTTTCCTTCTCATTGCCTTTTGCTGGTACCTCTTTGTCTCTCCACCCTCTTAACATTGGAAGGCCTCACTCAGTCCCTGCACCACTTTTCTATTTAGATCAAAACTTTGGTGATCTACTTAGCCTTGTGATTTAAAATCCATACATATGCAATCTCCTCCCACTAGAAAATAAACTCCATTTTAACAGAATTTTTATTATTTTGTCATCTACTGTATCCCAGTACTTGGAAGAGTGCCTGGCTCATAGAAAGTACTCAGTAAATGTTCGGCAAATAAAAGAAACAGCAGTATTCTGCCTGTAAAGTAGGTTTGTTTCCTCTTTCTAACTTGATAGAACAAAACAAAGTTTAACCCAGGTATTTCTTGATTAATACAAATGGTATGGAAATACACTTTCCTAAATGAATACAGTATGAATTAGATGATATGCAGCACAGATAATTTTTGTTGGTGACCCACTTTAAGTTTTTATCTGGAAAGTCAGGATACGTGTTTTATAGCTATATATATCACAGTAGGAGTGCTAGCGTATAGTACTTAAATTTTTTAGAAAGCATTTCAAGAAACAAATTACACAGAGGAATCTGTTGAAACAAATTGACTTGTAGAGGTAAGTGGCATATGCTGACTTTGTGATGGGAGGCCCTGGGTTATATCCCAGCTCTAAAAATAGCTACCTGTAACTTTGGCCAATTTCTCTGGTCCTCAATTTCCTCATCAGTGAAATTAAAGACCTGCTAAGATCCTCCCAGCTTTAAAAGTTGGTGTTACTGTCAAATATACAAGCAGGATGCTACCCAGAGGTACTGTTGAAATTAACCAGATTTATTTCCAGGCCTGTGTGTTGTCTCTGTTCATGTGGGAAGTGAGGTGAATGCACCATGACACAGGCAGTATTACCTGTTGCTTTCGTGAGTCTGTATCTCAGACAAGCCAAGGGTGCTGCTCATTTTTCTCGGTCCATATTTTTTTATGTTCATCATTTTACCGTGATCTTATTTCGTGAATATTTGTTTCCTAACAGGGTGCATCTGAGAAAGACATCGTGCACTCTGGCTTAGCTTACACAATGGAGCGTTCTGCCAGGGTATGTATACAGATGCTGTTTGCCTTTCTGCTGGTTACATGAAGTACAACTCAAACATGTTATCTTAGCTGCCAGATTGTGTGTGTAGTGATAGAAGATAGCAATCTGTTAAATGTCCCCATTTGTGTGTAGCAAAGCACATGCTTTTTTAGTCTCAAACGATGAGCAGCGTTTTCAGAGTCTTCAAATATGTTTACCAGGCTTCGGAAATACATAATAATGCTGAGTTAGGAGGGAGCGATGTTGGCAGTTAGCTAAATATCGAGTGGTCAGCCAAACTGCGTTGCAGCTCAGTGTGCCTCTCTTATTACAGCTGTGGGAAGCTACCTTGCTATAGAGTTTGGTGTAAGTAAAAGGTGATGTGTTTGTGGTTTGGGGGGTTTTTTTGGTTTTTTGGTTGCTGTTGTTTTTTTTTTTTTAAAAGATGACCGGTAAGGGGATCTTAACCCTTGACTTGGTGTTGTCAGCACCACGCTCACCCAGTGAGCAAACCGGCCATCCCTATATGGGATCCGAACCCGGGGCCTTGGTGTTATCAGCACCGCACTCTCCCGAGTGAGCCACAGGCCGGCCCCGGTTGCTGTTGTTTTTGACTACTTGATTCTTATTTCAAGCCCTTAAACACAGTTTGAATCCAGTTTTCCTAATTTCTCCTTAAGTTCAGATTTTGTCTACTTGGATTTAAGTTGAAATACCATAAACATATTGATGAAGAAGGTGGTACTTAGAGTTTTTGTTGTTTTATTGAGATATAATTGGCGTAGTATAAATTCAAAGTATACAATTCAGTAGCCTTTAGTATACTCACAAGGCTGTGTAGCCATCACCACTATGTAATTCTAGAACATTTTCATCACCCATTCTTAGTTCTTTTAAATAATCACAAAATATATCAAATGAACTCATTCCAGATAACAGGATGTCTACCAGGCACAGAGGCAGTCTGCATCTAAAATTCTAAAGGGCAGTTTCTTTTTCTTTTTTCTTTTTTTTTTTTTTAAAGATGACCGGTAAGGGGATCTCAACCCTTGGCTTAGTGTTGTCAACACCACGCTCAGCCAGTGAGCCAACCGGCCATCCCTATATAGGATCCGAACCCGTGGCCTTGGTGTTATCAGCACCGCACTCTCCCAAGTGAGCCACAGGCCGGCCCCGGTTGCTGTTGTTTTTGACTACTTGATTCTTATTTCAAGCCCTTAAACACAGTTTGAATCCAGTTTTCCTAATTTCTCCTTAAGTTCAGATTTTGTCTACTTGGATTTAAGTTGAAATACCATAAACATATTGATGAAGAAGGTGGTACTTAGAGTTTTTGTTGTTTTATTGAGATATAATTGGCGTAGTATAAATTCAAAGTATACAATTCAGTAGCCTTTAGTATACTCACAAGGCTGTGTAGCCATCACCACTATGTAATTCTAGAACATTTTCATCACCCATTCTTAGTTCTTTTAAATAATCACAAAATATATCAAATGAACTCATTCCAGATAACAGGATGTCTACCAGGCACAGAGGCAGTCTGCATCTAAAATTCTAAAGGGCAGTTTCTTTTTCTTTTTTCTTTTTTTTTTTTTTAAAGATGACCGGTAAGGGGATCTCAACCCTTGGCTTAGTGTTGTCAACACCACGCTCAGCCAGTGAGCCAACCGGCCATCCCTATATAGGATCCGAACCCGTGGCCTTGGTGTTATCAGCACCGCACTCTCCCAAGTGAGCCACGGGCCAGCCCCTAAAGGGCAGTTTCTTACTGCTGCCTAGACAATAATTGCTTATTAATTCCTGCCTAGAGGTTATTCTACTGAAGAGTAGTGTATCTTTGGCTGCCCAAGTCCTGCACTGAAATGGTGACAGGGTAACTCACACCAGGCTCATATGTGCTTTGTGTGTTCATGGCCTGGCTATTTGAGGGGGTCTTCACTGCATCTTCTTCATTTCAGCAAATTATGCGTACGGCCATGAAGTATAACCTGGGATTGGACCTGAGAACAGCTGCCTATGTCAATGCCATCGAGAAAGTCTTCAAAGTGTACAGTGAAGCCGGTGTGACCTTCACATAGATGGATCTTGACTTCCTCAGTACTGTCTTCGCCTGTAACTTCTGCAGACCTATCACAAGTTTACATGTAACCACAGAGATCTCGCTCTCATGACTCGTTAGATATAGACACCATTCTCAACAAGTCGGTCCAAATCTGCCCCTTAAGAAGAAAGAAATTAAGGTTAGAGAATCATGTACAAGCTGATGAGTGTGAAAGTAGAAATCACCTATGCCAGAGAGCCATTTGGGTATTTTGCCTTTAAATAAAAAGTCTCTTCCAAATGGCTGTGCTACCTTGCTCCGTGGCTCGTCCCGGCACAGTCAGTGCTGTTGAGAGGGAAGGCACATTCATGAGCAGTCAGTCACTGCTGCTTTTGCTCCGGACAGATCTGAGACATGCTGGAACTTTGACACATTTAGTAATAGACGTGTGGCATTTTCAGAAAGTGGCAAGATCCACAAGTGAGTAATTGGTATTTTACATCAGCAGAATAACTCAATTTTACAGGTTGCAAACAAAAATAAAAGCCGTTTTTTCTTTATACATTTTATTCTTTTGGAGTTAAATAAGTACATGCTGCTGTATTAAAATTGCCTTTAATCACTTAACAAGCCTAACCTTGACTCAAGCAGTGAATACCTATAAACATAATGAAAAAAGCTAGTATTTTTATAACATAATACAGTATCATTTATAGCTTCTCAGTCATGTATTGTTGTCCAGCAAAAATAAAAAGCCTGATGGAGAATTAAGTTATCTTCATACCTGCAAATGATGGAGGCTATTTTTGTTAAGACTGCCTGAAATTTGCTAACTGTAATTATGACACATAGTCCAAAGAAGCAGTAACCTCCTTATCATGTTAATTAATTCTTCTCTTTTGAATATCTATTGTGTTGACTAATTGAACAATAATTCAAGTAGAGTGTCCCAGAAAAAAACCCTCAGGCTCCCTGTTTGGAGTCTGTCTGCCTGAGTATTGCCACTGGCCCTGACCTGGCCTGACTCCTCTTTCAGAGGCTTTACATCCAGGCACCCAGCTTCCTTAACAGTAGGCTGGAAAACAACTATGGGTTTGAGTGTTTTGTTTGGGAGTTATTTGGCCAGGCCCTTTTGAACAGTAGTGTCCCATGAAGTACTAGATATTATTTATGTAAGAATGAGCTTTTTTTTTTTTTTTTTTAACAATAATACCCTTTCAAAATTTCTAACTACTTTGTAACTGCATGACTTTACCTGGTGATAAAAGCAGTTATTAAAAGTCTACCTTTTCCAAAGCTTATGTTTCTTGCCTGTGTTTTTATATTTGATAGAATGATAAAACTACACTTGGGTTTCTGAAATTTTCATAACAACCACCTATGTAACATTTCCTTACACTGTATTGTGCTCAAATTTTATTCTGAAATTCTTTTGAGGTTTTTTTTTTTTTAATTGAATCATAATCATACATATTTTTCAGGTTCAACATTGACATATACTGATCAAATCAGTGTGTTAGCATATACATTATTACAAATCATACTTATGCTTTATGCACCTGATCAATATCTCCCTATACCTCTCTCCCTCCTCCTCCCACCTCTGATAATCCTAAATTTCTTCTCTTCTTCTGAAAAAGTAACAGTTACTTTTGATTTGTTGCCTAGATGATCTGTCCATGCTGAGAGAGGTGTGTTCCAGTCCTCCAATATTATTGTAGAGCAGATGCTTCTTCTGTCACTCTGGAATGGTCTTTGTGGAGAGAGACATCCTCTTTTCTTTGGTCTCTGCTGGTGACTCTCCTGTCAATGCACTCGAGCGGCTGGCGGGCCATCTGCACAGTGGTTGTGGTGTCTAGCTACTTTTGCAGCAGCTGTGGCTAATTGTGGTGGCTGTGGTGGGCCACCCACATAGAAGTGGTGTTTTGGTGTGCTCCTTGCCTGGTTGCAGGAGGAGGGGTAGGTCCCCGGCTCCATCCTGGGCAGGCCCTGTGGCAGCAGCAGAGTGCCTTGTTGTGGGAGGAGGGGTCAGTCCCCAGCTCCATCTGTTTTTGCATTCTAAGATGTTATTGCAGAGGAGTTGGGTGGGAGGGGAAGGGGGAAGAGGGAAGGCAGTAGGGTGGGAAGAAGAAGGACTGAGGCCTGTGGTACTCCCCTTGCTCCTGCAGGGGAGACCAGGGGGCTTCCAGTGGTGGCTTGGTCACTGCTGGCCTGAATGCAGATGTCAGGGGGATGTGGCTGAAGCTCTCGGACCCCCCACTGCCCTGGCTCAGGAGCCCAGGGTGTTTCCTGCAGCAGCTTGGTGGTTGTCGCTGGGCTGGTTGCAGGGTGCAGGGGGGTAGGGCATAGCCGAGGCCCTCAGCCTCCCACCACCCAGCTCAGGAGCCCAGTGCATCTCCTGCAGGAGCTCAGTGGTCATTGCTGAGCTGGGTGTGGGTGTTGGGGGGGGGGGGCATGGCTGAGGCCCCAGGCCCTCCCCTCTTCCTAGTTTGAGGCCTAAGGGTCTTCTGATCCTTCTAGGTTTTTTAGGTATTCTTTGGTGAAGTGAGACCTTTACTAATTAATATCAAACTTTGTCTCTGGTCTGTGGGTATTTTGCTTTTTCTTTCAGTTCTGTGTTGGATTATTCACTGTTTCCACTACTTAAACTCTGCACTGAAACTAATTTGTTGTCCTTTGTTTACTTCTAAAATGGGGGAAATTACTGTGGGGACCAGCACTTGAGCCTTGTTCAGCTAAATTGCTGCTTTCCTGCTGATTCCCTGGGGAAGGCTTTTTGTGCAGCTCAGGTTTTAATGTCTGACTTTGTAGGTACTTCTGGGTCTGGTATACCTGGGTTGTGTTGAAACTCTGGTCCTGACCTGAGTCTCTTCAGCAAACTGCTCCCCCTGCAGTTCTATATTCCTGACCAGTCTACACGGAGTGCTGATTGGAGGGCAGATCAGCTGTCCATGCTGTGCCCCAGTGTTTCCCCAGTGGGCCCGTCTCCCCCACTGCCTGTAGTCCAAACACTTCCCGTGGACAGGCCATGTACTAGTCCCTTGGCGATGACACACCTGCCTCTGAATGACTCCTTTTTTCAGTTGTGGCTCCTCACTTCTGTGTGGGTCCATGGGAACCCTATTAGTGGTCTTGCTGTCCTGAGGGTCACCAATGCCCTCTTCTCCCCTGCCACCTCCAAGTAACTTCATATGAAGGGCACAGCTGCGGCTTTTGCCAGCTCTTGCTCTGCATGCTCACCAGGGCAAGCTTGGAAGCAGCTGGGGCTCAAAATGGTAGGAGCAATCCTTTCTTTCTCTCATCATGGCTTTTCCTGCCTTCATGCTCTCCGTAGGTCTCTCCTCCTCTTCCCCCAAGCTCTAGCTGCCCCAACTTGGCTGTTGTTGCTTTTGTTGTTGTTGTTGCTTTTTAATAGTTGTAAATTGGTTGATTTGTGGGAGAGGATGACACTGGGGACCATCTATTCCGCCATCTTGACCAGAAACTGAGTTTTGTTTTATTAAGCAAAATCAATGGCTGTTCTTGGGGAAGAGGCTCTAATGCTTAACACCAGCATACTCAAGTAATTTTTAGTGCTTTTTTTTTTTTTTTTTTAAAGGTGACTGCTAAGGGGATCTTAACCCTTGACTTGGTATTGTCAGCACCACGCTCTCCCAAGTGAGCCACGGGCCAGCCCTTATTGGAGGTTTAAATTAGAAAATTCTGGTCAGTCACTGCTTTTGGCTTGACTGAAATCTTACTTGTTTATAATTCTTATTAAAACTCACATATAATACTCTGATTCCTTTTGAAATACCCATAGATGACTAATATAGCACCTAAAGAATACTTAGCTCTGTTGGCTTATGGAACCCCTGCACCAGAAGGCATTCTTTTTTTTTTGTCCTTTTCAAGACCGGCCGCACCGCACTCAGCCAGTGAGCGCTATGAGCGCACCGGTCATCCCTATATAGGATCCGAACCCGCGGCGGGAGCGCTGCTGCACTCCCAGCACCACACTCTCCCAAGTGCACCACGGGCTCGGCCCCAGAATGCATTCTAATTGACCTGATTAAGTTTAGGGAGGTGAATGATTTTTTTGTTGTTGGGGTTTTTTTTGTTTGTTCTTTGGCAGTTCAACTACAAAGATTGGTGATTCACTTTTTTTTCAAAGTCTGGCAGGCTTTTTCAGCCTATTAAGGCAGTCAGAGAATGGCATGTGAAGAAAACTATCTGTGGACCTTGTGCCAAAGAATTTTTTTTTTTTGCTTTGTAGTATGGGTGTTACCATTTTTAACTTTTTTCACAGATAAGTTTTATTGACTTCTTTGTATTTTAATCAAACTTACACATACTTTTAGACAGTTTCTCAACCTCAACACTATTGACATTTGGGCCAGGTAATCCTTTCTGGTAGGGACTGTCCTGTGCCTTGTAGGGTGTTTAGCAATATCCCTGGCCTGTACGCATTGGATACCAGTAGCATCCCTCAGTTGTAACAATCAAAAATGTATTCAGATTGCCAAATGTCCCCTGGGGGGCAAAGTCATCCTTTGTTGAGAACTCTGATTTAGAGAGCCAGCTAGTGCTACAAGATTTATTGTGAACAATCGCTTGTTCCCTCCAATTCATACACCTCTCACCATTTTCTACTCCCCAGAGGCAACCACTTTCAACAATTTTAAGTGTTTCATTTTTATTCTATTAAGCCTATTTTTTTTTTTTTTTTTAAAGATGACCGGTAAGGGGATCTCAACCCTTGGCTTGCTTTTGTCAGCACCACGCTCAGCCAGTGAGCAAACCGGCCATCCCTATATAGGATCCGAACCCATGGCCTTGGTGTTATCAGCACCGCACTCTACCGAGTGAGCCATGGGCCGGCCTAAGCCTATTTTTTAATTGGGTTATTTTTCTCTTTATTTTTGAGTTTTAAGAGTTCTTTACATATTCTAGACCCTTATCAGATACGTGATTTGCAAACATTTTCTCTCATCTACTGATTGTCTTTTTCACTTCCTTTATAGTGTGCTTTTAAATTTTGATAAATTCGGGCTGGCCCGTGGCTCACTCGGGAGAGTGCGGTGCTCATAACACCAAGGCCCCGGGTTCGGATCCCATATAGGGATGGCCGGTTCGCTCACTGGCTGAGCGTGGTGCTGACAACACCAAGTCAGGGGTTAGGATCCCCTTACCGGTCATCTTTTAAATAAATAAATAAATAAATAAATAAATAAATAAATAAATAAATAAATAAATAAAATTTTGATAAATTCAAATTTACTTTTCTTTGGTTGCTGTGCTTTAGGTGTCATGTAAGACACCATTGCTTATTCCAAAGTCATGCAGATATGCCTCTTGTTTTCTTCTAAGAGTTTTATAGTTTTAGCTCTTAAGATACCTGATCTGTTTTGGTTCAGTTTGGTTTTTGGTGGCTGGCCAATATGGGGATCTGAACCCTTGACCATGGTGTTACAACACCACAGTCTAACCAAATGAGCTAACTGGCCAGCCTCATTTTGAGTTCATTTTTGTATATGGTGTGATGGACAGGTTTGTTGTTATGCATGTAGATTCCTTAGAGTTTCTATGTATAAGATCATGTCATGTACAAACAGAGATAGTTTTACTTCTTCCTTTCCAATATGATTGCCTTTATTTTGTTTTCTAACCTACCCATGCTAGAACTTCTTGTGCAGTGATGAAGAGTAGCAAGAGTGGACTTCTTGTCTTGTTTCTGATCTTAGAGGGAAGGCTTTCAGTCTTCCGTTGTTGAGAATGATGATGGCTATAGGGGTTTTATAGATGTTCAAGAGAATGAGGAAGTTTCTGTTCCTAGGTTAGTGTTTTTATGATGGAAGTGTGCTGGATTTTTTTATGTTTTTCTGCGTCTGTTGAGATGATCATGTTTTTCCCCTTCATTCTATTAATATGGTATGTTACATTGATTTTCATATGTTCCAGGAGTCTTGCATTCCTGGGATAAATCCCACTTGGTCATGGTGGATAATCCTTTTTATATGCTGCTGAATTTGAATTGCTAGTACTTTGTGGAGGATTTTTACATTGATATTTGTAAAGGATATTCTGTAATTTTCTTTCCCTGTGATGTCCTTGTCTTATTTTGGTACCAGAATACTACTAGCATCATAGAATGTGTTAGGAAGTGTTCTTTCCTCTTCTGTTTTTTCAAGAGTTTTTGAAGGACTGATGTCAACTCATCTTTAAATTTTATGTTCACCAATGAGTCCTTGATCCTAGTCTTTTCTTTGAGGGAAATTTTTTTATTACTAGCTCAATCTCTTTATTTGTTATAGGTCT